TGTCAGGATTTCTTTTTCCTTTGTCCTCAGTTACTGATACCTCCTCACATCTTACAGGCCTCAAGATCAGCTGAGCACTTACTACACTAAACAGGATGAAAAACTTTATTTTTCTATTTTTTTCTGATTAAAACATAAATTGCTTCTGATACCGTCAAATTTGATGGGATTCTGTTAATTTTCCAGAATAGCCTCATGTCAGGGCAATACCAAGTTTAAAGGCTTCTTGCAAGCATCTCTTATTCCAAAGAGAGAGATTAAAAAGAGGGAGGGAGAAGAAAAGTGAGTGTCAATTATTAAAAAAAAAAAAATTAAGCAAGAAAACTCTATAGTTGGGCAAAATTTGTCCTTGACTGCAGATTAACATTCAGTGATAAAAGGTTAGGAGTGAGACATGCTGAAAAACTGAAAAACTCAGTGAGATCCTTCACAATTTTGAGCAGGGATAGAAAGCAACAAGATAGATGAAAATTAATGCCTGCTGTGTAAATCACTGTTAGGTAAAGTAGTGCATATGGGAAAATCGTTTCGTTTTTTTTCCTTTGGCCTCTGGAGACCATTGGGATTTTGACAGTAGCATGTTTGTGTGCTTCTACATAACTAAGGGGAAAAAAACCTGGACTTGTTATCACCTCAATAGGACAAAATACCAGTTCTCCTCCACTGAATATTATGTTTGAAGTGCATGACTGACTGGTTCAGCTCCATGAGAAGAACTGACTTCTTTTTTTCAAAAGGAAAGGAAAAAAGATGAGAAGAAGAAGAAAAGAGAAAAGCAAAGAAGCTGAGAAGGAAAGGTGGAGAACAATTTTGTTCTGTCTCACTCTTCTCTCCTTGTGAACCTAATGGGATGTGCAGCTGCTGCCTCTTCTTTGAGGTTAGCACTGTAAAGGACTTTGCAAGTGATTGTTAGATTTTTGTATGAAACTTCTGAAATCTGGTGAGTACAATGGGTTAAAAAAAAATGGATTAATAACAAAATTGTCCTCCTTCCCATTGCGTACAGTGGATATTTTATTGCGCTTACTCTCAAACCAGCAACTTTCCACAGCTGTTACAGCTGTAAATTAATTCTATAAAATTCTCCAAAAATAGGTACATTTTTCATGGTGACTGGGACTTTTATACTTCTGAGGCAACTCTTGATCTCTGCATGTTGTTTGGGACCTTTACCCACAGTCTCCTTTCCTGCCTTCTGTCTTCAAGGAGCTTCTTAGTCTAAGCATGCTCCAAAACATTCTCCTTGTTTGAGGAATACGCCTTTCCCATGTAGGAAATGTTACACCTTTTGAGGAAACAGCACACACAGTGCATAGTGGGGGCGCAAGGAAATTATATATTCTGATAATCAGTAGGTTTGCATAAGTATCCAAATGATGATTTTGAACTTCTTGTTACTGCATGCATACATACATACTCGTATTCTGTGCTTACACTAGTCTAGAAAACATGAGGATCAGACAAATACAGCCTGCCATCCCCAGAGTGATTATTGTAGAATAAGTTAAAAAAGCACTCTGGTTTAATTTATTTCTTTTCTTGTTGGTTTGCTACTATTTTTTTTTTGTTTCTTTTTTTTCTTTTTTGCACTAGAAAAGAAAGAAAAATAATTGGAGATATTGGATAATATTTGATATCAGGGTTAAGAATGAGAAAGACAAGGAAGTTTTTAATATATATGTATATATATAAAACAATTTTTAAATGTCCTTACTCACGTATTTGTGTATTGATCCTTTTTCTGAGACTTCAAGTGCAACTGATGTTTAAAAGTAATGTGGTTTTCCAGGTCTTGCTATATTTCCCTTCAAGTTCTATCTAGAGAATCACAGGATACTTTTTTCTCTATGAAAATATCTTCAGTTGGGATGTTTCAGATCTCACCATTATTAGAAAATCAAAAGAATGGATATCGTAAACCTGAGTGGGAGACTGTTCGAGAGAAGAGGAGCTCTTCAGTGGTCAGGGATAGAACTGCAGCTGGGCATGAGAGAAATCAATGCAAGAACATGACTAACTTGGTTACAAATCTGAAAGGTTTCACAGGAAAGGGAGTGCATCCTGGATACACAAGAAAATTAGCTCAGACTAAAAAACCAGAATGTGTGAAACTTTGTAAAGATTCACAGTTCAGAAACTGGAGAAGGGGAAAGGAAAAAGAATGCTTAATTTCTGGCAAATAACCTGCAGAGAAGAAATTTGAATGTATGCTATTCTCTTAAGCTAGAATCAGAATTCCAAGTTGCACCATCTTTGAAGAGGAACTGAGTGTTGTTGAATGTCGATGTAATCACTTTTAGTTCTCAAATCTGAAGCGTTGTTTTGCAGTGCATCATGAAATGAATTACTCTTAGTAAGTTATTAGGGTGTATAAGTATGAAGATGTGTATATACAGTCAGCAGCCTGTAAAACTGCTCAGGAGAATCTTCTTTAAATACCTCAGTATGTCACCACAGAGAAGCATCATCAAATGAAAAGCATGAGACTGGGAATGAAATGAAACAGACTTATTAATGTCTTTTAAACAAACATAGCAGAAAGACTTGATGTCTGATAAATTTGTTTATTGTAGCGGCGACCCTTGTATAACAAGGAATGATTGATGCTCCTCGTGCGGTGTTGTGGACAAAGAGCTTTAATTCAAACTCGCGCGCCCTTTTATCCTTACGGATCATGTGACTTTCTTAACCAACCAGTTTACTAACTCTGGGGCATGCTCCTTGGGCTCTGTACCTGGGCACATCCTCTGTGCCTCTCAGACCCGCCCCCACAGTTTATCTCTGCAAGTACAGCTGCTGAATGTCTTAATTCTTCACTTTAAAAGAAAGTGTCTGTGGTAAATTAATAAAGTCTTGATATACAAGTATAATGACCACGGTTTTTTTCCTACTCCTTTCTGCAACCTAGCTTTACTTTCATCTTTTCTGGAAAACAACTTACAATTTAATTATTACAAAAAGTCAAGAGGATTACTTAATGGAAGAAATAAATCAGCAATGTTATTAGAGCATGAAATCAAGTTTATTGAATGTAAAACAGAACCCCTATATTATGTTTAGCTCACATGAGTAGGCTTATTTAAGTCAATGGAAAGATGTGCATAAATAATACTTTAGGAATTAAGTCCTTGAATAACTGTTTGTAGTATCTGGACGTAATACCCATACAGAAAATTCAATAGTATAACAGTAGTTCACTGTTCCCTTGTTATTTTATTAATGTGTAACTTGGTTTATTTGAGCTGGTTAAATCTTCCTGTATAATCTTATTCAGAAAATTCCCTAAGCCTTTGCTTGAGTCTGTCTTTTTTGATAAACTCAAGAACCACACAGTTTGCCTGCACTGGATATTTTTGGATGTGTTCTGATTCATGCATCCTAGCAAGGACTGTGGACTATAAGCAGAGAAACTGTAGTAAGTCAGATATGTCCTGAGTAAAGGACATATTATGAAGAATGGGAGAAAGTCATCATTGCATATATGTAGCAAGATTTATGAGGAAACAGTTTCACTTATTCTGTGTGTCTCCAGTGAAGCAAATATGTACAAGCTAATTACATAGGAAATGAAATACAACATAAAAAGGAAAAGGTCGTCTAATGAATTCTTTGTCCTAAGCAGCTGCAAATTATTTAATAAAATGTATGTGCTCTGATACTCTTGCACTGCCAGGTACATTAAGATTCTCCTCAAATAGTCTTTTGCAAATTAATACGCATACTTAAGTAGGACCGTGCTGTTCATCATGAACAACAATTTCAGCAATACTATAGGAATGGATTAATTGATAACCTTTATTTACTCTATCTCAATTCCTTTACTACAAAAATCTATTTCCTGTGTGCAATAAGTGACTTCATAGTAGAGAAATTTCACCTGGAGCATGATAACATGCTATGAACCACAACGAAATTTTCAGATATGTTGTTTTATTGACTTCTCACTGACTGGAATTAGATCTCCATGTCTTCATTGGAAGGATCTGAAAAGAGATAATTTGACAATTTTTCTTGGTTAAAATAAGATATAAACGAATGTGGGAGGGAGTGAAAAGCCCTTTTTGTCTTAACTTTCTCATATTTGCACCACATTTTTCCTTAGTATATCTTATATCTTTTTAGCACTTTTCATAAGGTTCAGTTTGTCGTTTACAATAATCTTTATTACTTGTTTAGCATTTTTAGTATCTTTCAGTAAACATTTGCTTTAAAGAATCAATATATAAAACCTGTTAGAGAATTGAAACTGATATAGATTTGAACAGAGCTTAGAACGTTCTTTTTGTTTCTTAATGTTTTAACAGTTTTGGGGGTTTTTTTTGTCTGTTGCTGTATTTCAGGTAGAAATGAACATAAATTCTATAGGTTTTAGGGAACTAAGAGACTGAGATTTGCAGTCAATACATGGGATAAAAATTTCTGTGTGAATTTAAAGACTCTACTGAAGTAAAAACCTTTTTTTTTTTTTCTGTAGCACATTTTGCTCTGTTGTGGTGTTTGAGTTGGGCAGTTAGCTGGAAGGAAACCTACAACTTGCTCTTGATTCCTGTGATTTGTAGTAACTATGCCTAAACCCAAACATGAATGTTATCCTTTGCAAGTAATAACCTGAGTTCAAACTATTTGATCGTAATACCATTTCTGTATTTTCAGATGGCTTCTATGCAATATTATTTTTCCCTTTTGGGAAGAAATAATAGTAGTAGCAGATTGTTATCCCATACATTTCCATGGCTCTTTTTAAAGGTAGCCAGAAGTTTGATTTATTTGTCCCCCCCGATGTTATATGTCTATAGTGAAAGGACTATATAATGCAAGTTATTATAGGCTCTCTTTGCAGTCAGTGAAGAAAAACAGAGCATGATTCATCTGACCTGTTTCAGCCATTTATTTAGAGTTAGATAATTTGTGCCCAGAGGTTACATTTTTCCCTGTTCTAAAGTGAACTCAGATGACCACCTTAAATGGAGATGTTAAAAATCTACAATTCATTGAAGTGAAACCTGCCCAGGATTTCTTCATGCTGAATATTAACATGTAGTCAAGAGTGAATGTGTGCTTACAAAGCAGCACAGTGTACTACTAAGTTTCCCACTTGCCTTGTCTAGTTATCCACCTTTTTTTGTTAGTAAACAGATCAGAGAAGTAAAGGATGGCGTTTTTAGGAACATGAATTGGTGGCCCCATATAGTTGACTTGAAAGGATTTAGTCCATGTAGAACAAACTCAGTTGTCCACTAGATTTTTCAGAGGAAGAGGGTCTTCATTTAGAAAAGGTGCAGAATAACTTTACTGTTTTTAAAATTCTAGTCATATGGAGAACTGTTTCCAGTGTGCCTTACAGTATTAAATTTTCACGTGGGATATCTGCAGTGACTGTGTTGACAAAGATTATCATTGCACTTGCATGTGGCAGACTGGAGGGTAGAAATGTGATTTGGGGACCAGGGATGAAGGAGGGACTCTGTCTGTGTGAGCACGTTCTCTCCTTTGTGTCCTCTTGTGCTTACCTTTGAATTGGTTGTTTTGCCTTTATTTATTTAACTTGAAGAATAGTTTAGGCTCAGTCCATTTAAGAGTTTGGATATACACCAAAATGATGAAAGATGTGGAAGTGTGAAAAGAAACCTCAAGAACACAAATGAAACAGCGTGGATCCAGCTTTGGAGAGCAGGTAAGAGACACAGGGCATTCTTTCATGAAAGTAAACTTCTGAATAGATTTACACTTATTGTACTTTATTCTGCTTAGGGAATGGTTGTCTATCACTGTCAAAATCACTGTAGACTGAAGGGGTGTGTGTGTGTGTGTGTAATTTCTGAGTTTTCTGTTAGGAAAAAAATAAAGCAAAATCTAAAAAAAACCATGCTACAGTACAAAAGGCATGTATGAAGGAAGTAAAATCAGAAGTATATAAATACTGAGGAAAGGGTTTGTTCCTATGCCCTTCCAAACTAGTAAAATGTATTAATCAGAAGAAAAAAACCCAAGTCTATAACGTATTTGCTGCAAAGAAGGTAATTATTTACTTTTTCAGGTCAGCAGATAACAAGTGAGCACAGTTAATAGGAAGGAAGTCAGTTCACATTACACGTTCCAAACTAATTTCCAGGACATTGGAAAGATGATCTTTAAGGTCACTTCCAATCCAAACCATTTGATGATCCTGTGAATAAAAATATTGATGTTGCATCATGCTATTCCTCCTAATCCATATTTCCTTGGTATGGTATGGCTTCACTGAGGGTGTCTATCTGCCATATGCAGCAAATAAAACAGAGATACCTGATTGAAAGATAACTATTGGAATCAAATAAATTTCTATTGAAAGCAGCAGGTTGTTCTGAGATGAGAATACGATAAATGGTTTTAATTATTTCATTAAGGATTTATAATATTTATTTTAAAATAATTGAACATAAATATGATCAGATTTTTTTATCTATGATATCAGCATTGGTATCATTTCTGGCAATCTCTAGAAACTCCAGAAAAACTTCATTTTTCTTAGACTAACCCTTGGTTGTAGATTTCAGTTCCTATGAAGTCATTGAAGATGTATAACAGAACACCAAATTATTTGCTACACACATGGGGATATTGTTTCTAATACAATGTGCAGCAGTCTCTCTTCAGAGTGTTATACTTCACACAGAGAACAAAAGAAGATATATATTCATCTCAGGACTTGTAAATCCTAAACGTAGCCTAAAGTCACATTTTTATTAACTTTTTCCATCCTTGTTTCCCACAAATCTGGGAACTGGCTTCTGTATATAATTGTTATGTAGCTGCTAAAACAAATTACCAGCTGAAGGAGTAGATGATGCTTAAAAAATCCCCTACATGATATATTTAGAAATCCTTATTAAGATATCTTTAATTTTAGCTATACTGAAGCAAAGAAGGATCCAGGATCTGAGGAGAAGAGAGAAGGAACTGACAGAATGAAATGGGAAGCTCATACCTGATATTTGTCTGTGGGTTAATGCAGTTGTTCAAAAGATGTTAAATTGAAGGACATTTACCCCTGTGCAGCAGTACTTTGAATTCAGTTCCCAGAGTCGCTCAAGCATACACCAATGTCCAGCATGTTGCAACCTGCTGCTTCCAAGTTCTCTCTCGTCCCTATTCCCTCTTCTCTCAGACTTTGTGCTCGACCCTGATGAAGGAAAAAATGTGAGTATCTACTGCCCTCTATCTGCCACTTGCTTTTTCACAGAGGAGTAGTTTATCAAACAGAAGAACTGAGGATATTGTGTTATAATATTTCAGAGAACTTAACTGCAGGGTCATACAGGCTGGTAGTAACAAACATTAGCTGAGGTTCACACTCAAATCAGCTGTAAGTGTCAGAACTGGAGTATTGCAAGCTAAGGTGTGCTTGCTTTCCCTGAGCACCAGTATCACCAGTTTCAATATTTGGAAGAAGAAACTTCCCAATGGATGAGGTTCCTGTAACAAGGAGACAAATTCTGAGTTAAATCTCCAATGGAATCACAATGATCAGCAGGAGGTGAGGCCTTGCGTAGGGAAACCCTATACTAGCTGTTCCTTCAGGAGCTTATTAGTCTGAGAGGCAGCAAGTTTTGACTTCATGTCTCCAGGTTATTCAGTGTAATAAGGTGATGAATAAAATGCATTAAAAATTTTATGTTCAGAAAATTGACTTTTTTACTTCATGTGTACTTTTCAGAAGTGTGTTGAAAGGTAATTTAAATTCTTCATTAAAATTACCTCACAAAGCAGGAAAAGTTTTTTAAATGGAAATGAAAGTTTTACTCCAAAAAATGCAAGTATTTCAGGCTTTGGTCAGAGCTTCAAGTATCACTTGCCTCTGTTTTACTTTACTCTCCAGCTACACTTATCTTTGTACTGTGGTATTACTCTTCATAAAAAGTCAATAACTACTATCACATTCCCCTGAGAAACTGTAGCAGAAACAGAAATGTTGGAATTTTTATTTTCTCTTTTATAACAGAAAATTTACTTTCTTATATGTAAAGTATGACTTTTTTTTTTTCTCTTTAAGCCCTTAAGCTTTCCCCTGATTTGGTCTGCAGAGTGGTGGAGAAGCCTTGCTGGTTTGATGGGTGGGAGGGCTGGGACTGAGCACCTGCTCCTTCCTCAGCTAAGGGTGTGAGAAAGCAACATGCACCACCTTCTCCCTACAGGAGACACAATAAAGTAAGAGGCAACTCTTTGTGGTGCTCATCTCATGCTATGAAATCTGCCTTACAATACAATACGTTTTTGAACTAATGATAAATCTAGCAGAGGTGATAGGAGCACACTGCTTTTATGTCTCTCACAGGCTGTGCATACATAAATCCTCTGCACAGCTTCACAGAAAAGGTTTCTTTTCTGAAGGATATCTGGCAGAAAGCCTCACTCTTGGGTAGGAGAAGCAAATGGACTTAGCATTTCCCTCATGTGACCTTGAAGTAGAAGCATATGGAATGTACAATACTCAGTACTCACCTTGAAAACTTGGATTGTCTGTATCCAGGCATTTAAGACCTCTTTAAAGTTTATTTTTGCTTAACAGTTTTTCTTTAGAGAAATTCCCCTGAATATGATGATGTCGGAATAAAATTAATATTGTATTCAGCACATGTGTGCATAAATAACCTGGTGAAAATAGATGTCTACCAGTTTCCTTCAAATGTGGCAGCCTGATTGTGTTATTTATTTAAGCATGTATAAATATCTGATTTTGCGCAGCAGCTGATGATTTAGACTTTTACACTGGGTTGACTCTCTGTTTATGTGTTGTATGGATGATGGCTAGGAATTTCTGTGCCAGGAATTATTTCACTGCCAGTGATCAGCCTGACAGTCCTCATGCTCCTCAAACAACAGAGGACTGTCTGAGAGGATTGATTACAGAGAGGAATTTGGCTACAGTTGTGAAACTGTGACTTATAACTCTTGTTCCTTGTCCATTACAGTGTCTTGTCTTTTCTGTGTAGTACTTCTGTTGCAGTCCTCCCCTCTGAGGGTACCTTGAGTACAATAACCTGGTTTTTGTTGTCATCCTTTTCTTCTTTCCTTCCTTTCTTCATCTTCTGCGTGTCTACAACCATTTCCAAAGCACTGGATAATTTACTCAATGATTTGAAAGCATTATCTGAGCTTATCCCCATACTAAAAGAACACATATGATGTTAAATGATTGCATTAAATATGCAGTGATCTTTGCATCAAATTTTTGAGTGACTTTTTATTTGTGTAGTCTGTAATTGATACTGTTACTTAGTGGTGAAATTAGGCTTTATATTTTAATTTTTTCTATTTTACATTAGGAGGTGTGACTGATATATTAGATGAAAACCCACAGCCCTTGGTGTCTTTGAATAAGGCCTTCTTGCTCTCTAAGAGTTGGAGATTCAGGCTCTCCGAGCACTTAATTGGCCGTAATATAAAAGCCATCAGTGTTTGATGATGAGTAATGTCAGCTGCTGTTATCAAGCAGTCCAAATGAGGTAAACAGGTCAAAATACCAATATCATGAGAGTGTAATCCATTAATCAATATTATCTCAGTTCAAAAAATATTTTATGGTTTATTTGACTTGGGGTTGCGAACTAAGGCTATTCTGTTCTTAAAAGGTCAGCAACAAAGAAGAAATAGAAATATGTGTCAAGAATATGTGAGTGAATGAGTAATTATGGATTTCAGTTATACTTCTCCCTATATTTTTGTATATTCATAGTTTAACTCTACATATGTTAATTGATGATACACATATTTTTTTAGTCTCATGCTGAAATGAAAACACAAGGTAACCAGCCATTTTCTCCTCTTATGAAACTGCTTTTGCAAGTCAGTACCAGATTAAACCTCCTGCTATCCTTGAACTAAGTCCTCTGAGGAGGGCAATATTCTGCAATCTCTCCCTGCCTTCTCTTAGAGAGGATGTTATTTTCAAAATACTACAGGCAGCACAATGAATATTCAATGAGAGGTCTTCCTGTGACACCTGCTTCCTCTGTAGAGCTTTAAGACTGCTTTTAAAAGCTGACAGAGGAATGGTATTATGTACCTGTAAAAGCAATGAGTTTCATTTAAGGAGGTATATATTAAAGCTGTCGTAGGTGGCCTGATTAATGTAACACCTCAGTGAATTTATTATTTCCTAAGAAGCAGCACCAAGGAATATTTTACGTCAAAAATATGTATCAGGATTGATCCTTCTGTTGGAACCTCAGTTTTATGGCTAAGTTTCTGATTCTGCCAGCAAAATGGATGTTATTTCTTCATTGGATTTTTTAATTTAAAAATCTATACAGGTTTGAGGTTATGTAGATATTTGTATTTATCACAGAATTGCACTGTAACTAAGAAGCATATTGTGGTTTTTATCAGGAATTAGTAAAGTTCAGATGTGCAACTATAAAGATGAAAGAAAGTAGACAAACTGCATGTGTTGAGTCCATTTAATCATCAGGATTCTTCAGAGCAAAATATGCCTTATATCTATCACATACAGAATAATTACCAATAAACTGCGGTGCTGAACTGAAGCAAAACAGTGTGGCCGGAAAAAAGAATGTATTATGTGTCATTTAGTTAATGCTGCATTAAGCACACAGTGCCAGGAACTCCCTGCACAGCTGTTGGAGATTCCTGTGAAATGTCCAGTGTGTGTATTTACACACACACAAACCCAGATTTTTGTATATTTATATACTTCTTCCTAGGTGAAAAATCAGATGCACAGTGGCCACATAGACACTAACAGCTTGGTAAGTTAGGAGAAGATTAGTGAGGCAAATCATTTCATCTGCTCAGGAGAGTTAGCTAAATTGCTTTAAACAAAGAGTTGTCACGGGCAGAAAGAAATCTGAGAACTGCTGGTAGCTAAAGTATTTCATTCCTTGAATCCGACTTATAGGAGCTAATAGACAGGGGACTTTGGGTCTCATGCAGTGGCACCCTAAATAGAAAAAGAGTCGGTGCTGGATGAAACCTGGTTATTTACAGTGTTAACTGGCTTATTAAAGATGAGAGCTCCCGTGACTTCAGGGGAAGTCATTGGGTTACCAAACACATGCTGTAACTTGTTCAATTTTATTTGGAGCTGTAGCAAATTATCTTTTCTCTCAGATTCTCTTTTGCCAATTTGTTAAACTGTGTTACTCTGTCAAGTGTGTTTGTAGAGAAACACTTCCATCTCCCCTGGAAAGCAGGAGCAGCTTGATCGCGGCAGGATGGAGTGGGATAGTTCCTGCCCAGGAAGGCAGGTTAGATACTCTCTGCCAGGATCCCTCGCAGTGGGGTTCTCTGCCTTCCTGGACCTGATCCATTGCCATCTGCCTCTGTGATGAGGGAGGGGTGGAGAAGGAAAAATGAACATGTATTTTGAAATCCTTCTTTAGTGTGGTGTGTAAGGAGGTGAGGGGGAATTTCTTTTGGTTTGTTCAGAAGCTGCAAGTCTAAGAGTGTGTTCATATTCATTATTATTTTTAGTGTTATTATTATTAAGCATCAGAAGATGATGCTGCGGTAACCTTAGCTATACCTATAAATATCATCACATGCATGTTCAGGGAGTATGCACCACTTTCAGTATGCCCTCAGTAGCAATTCTGGGAAATTAAAATTGTTTGCTCACTGTACCTTTGAGAGCATGATGGACTGTTGGTATGCTGTGGAGCAAAAAGTCTTTGTGTTTGCTGTCATTGCCCTGTATGTGTGTGTCATTGGTGGTCAGCTACTGTCAGAACCTCGTGTTCCACTCTGAAAAATGACAGGCTGAGGTTTCATTTAATGTGTGGGTCACTGAGGGAGAAGGGGCTGAGTGGTTTTGGGTTATGAGTGGCTGTTTTTTAACATTCTTGGCATAATTGGATAAGTAGCAGCTGTGAATACAGTTCTGCTTATTTCTATAACCTTAAAACATACTGCATATCAATTTTAAATATACAATATCCATAGAATAGTGTTCCCTTTTGAATTATGAAGAAATACTTATAAAAAGGAATCTTTTCATATAACTTGTATTACAACTTTTTTCCTTCTTGGACAGAGATTAAAGTGACCAGATAAATTAAGACTTCCAGTGCTAATGTGTCTTCAGTGTTTTTTGCAAAAGGCTTAAGGAACAACCAGAGGGACACTTAGTGCCTACAAGCTCAGAGTGAAAGAGGTTCTTCAGAATATTTCTTAGCTGTTCTCTGGAAACATTAAGGTAATTAATGTTTTCCACCATTGCAAATAAAGGAAAATAATTTAAAAGAAATGTGCTATTATCGAACAATTTTAGCTCAAAATATTACCCCCCACCCCCAATTCTATGTTGGCAAGAATTGAGAATAATTTAGCAACACTTTGCAATAGAAGTAACTTGTGGGGTTTGTTTTGGTTTTCTCCAACTTAAGCTCTGATTCCTTATTGCTTATGAAAGAAAACCCAGTAAGAGACAACACAAGTGGCTTCCAAATTCTCCTCTCTCTAAATCCATCTTTCCTTTTTCATAGTGAAATTATTTGTAATTTTCTGCCTTAAAAGTACTTCTAGAATTATGGAGTCCAAAAAATTGAACACACTTTTCAAAAATACTGCTACAGTGTACAGAATCTAACACTGAGTAATTGTCACTGCCTAAAAAATATTTTATTCGCTTCAGGATTTAAGAAGAAACATTCTAACCTTGAGAACTGTCAGGAACACACTTCCATTGAGACCATGAAGCAAACACCCTGGCTGAACTTCTTCTTAATGAGAAACACATTAAGATATTAGGAAAAAGAGGGTGGTTGGGCACTGGAACAGGCTCCCCAGGGAAGTGGTGGCAGCACCAAGCCTTACAGAGCTCAAGGAGGGATTAGACAATGCTCTCAGGCAGAGGGTGTGACTCTTGGGGCAGGGCCTGGAGTTTGATGATCCTTGTGGATCCCTTCCAATTCAAGATATTCTATGATTTTATGATGCTTTGAGTTATTTTGATGTCTTCAGAGTAGAGCGTACTGAGCAGTGACCATACCTGCCTTGGTTACACCTGTAAAGAGTCCAAGAATAACGTTAACAGGTTTCATACCAATAGACCTAGCTGAAAGCTTGATGATTTTAAGTTAAAAACTGGGTTGTTTTTTTCTTCCTCTCCTCTTCTACATTTTTTTTCGAAGCATTGTCTTTACAAGGATCTATTACACACCTCCTCATTTTTGTCACTTATTTACATAGGCACTTCAGAGAGAAATAATTCAAGAAAAATGCAGTTTTATGAAGCAGATCTAATCATTGTTCAGGAATTTAATGATGATCTCTTCTTTTCAGGAACATGTGGGAAGACTGAAGTAAAATATTGCTAATTAATGCTGAATTAGATAAAGACAGTAAATAAATAGATCATTCTACAGGAACTTTTAACCATTATTATAGAAATTCACAAGCAACCATCAGTGTCTGAATTTAGGGAGCCTACCAGAATGGAAGGAAGCAAAACACATGGTAAGAAATATGACATATTTTTAGTTTACGTGATCTAGAAAGCTTTTTTCCTCTAACTTGCCATGAAATCACACTAGAAATATTTCAAGTTTCAAGAGTAAAATAACTTAATGCCAGCAAAAACTTGATGTAATTAATTCTGATGATGTATATAATGTTTCAAAAATTACAGTAAGAAATAATGGTTAAAGAGGAGAAGCTCTTACTTTTCTTATGTGCTGATAGCAATTTTGTTGAAAGCTTCCTTAGTGAAATCACATTTCTTGACTGTATGTGCAGAGGAAGAATAGCATAAAGGGTATAAAATCACTTTTTTTGGAAGGAGGTATCCTGCATTCTGTAACCTCTAATTTCTTCTGGCAAGATGTCATGGATAGAGTTACACTGCACGTGTTTGTTCTCGTAGTGAAGCATTCAAGCAGGGTGCAGTGTGCTTATATAAATCACGTAAGTCACATTGTGCATTCCCACCTCTTACCTCCCTCCTGTCCTGAGCTGTTGTCACAGGAAGCTGCAGCAAAGCTGGTCTTGCTTTTGGGCTCCCTGTATGGCCAAGGAGGAGAATGATCAGAATGGATCCCTTGAAAAATAACCTTAAAAGCATTTCAGTGGTGTTTAACACATTTGGTGAAATGCGTGGTGAGGGGGATCAAACAGGTGATTTTCCAGGAAACCACCAGTTCTCATCCCTGCAGATTTGTCAGCTGCTGTTTGGCACCCTGTGTCTTGTGGTTTGCAGTGCAGATTGCTTTCTGCACACGCCTGCTGTACCACTGTGTGCATGCAGGGAACAGTGAGGATACATTCCAACTCTACTGTAGATTTGGGCAGGAGAAGCAGAAATCACCCCCCAATGAAGCAATGACGAATTTTATTGCTCTTTGTTATGACATATGAAAGCACAGAAAACAAGTATGTTCACAGGGACTGTCTGAGGACAATGAAACTCATTCAGCCTGATAGGTTATATGAAAGTCATTATCAGTATGTGGATAATGGTACTATTAACAGAAGAGACAATTATTTAGGTTAATGTACTGCTTTCCTTTCCCCTTTTAATAAACACTGTACATCTTTAAACATAAAATCCTGTGATATGGTAGCCCCTTCTCATCACAATCATCTCTTGGTATTTTGACTTCCTTCATGCATAGTTCATTACTTTTGCATTCAAACGAGAAGTATAAAGAGGATTAGGTTCTGTAGGAGCAAGAACTGTTTATGGTTAGTGAAAGGAAGAGACATAATTTTTGATCTTTTTCTTAGTTTTTATAAGAACTAGGAGAATAGATTTTGATAAGTCTGTACTGACCTAGAACAGAAGTTAAAACCAATAGTGACCACAGAAGCTTTCAGCTTACTGATGTCTGAGAAGAACCTTGACTTTTAATATTTTAATATGCATGGAGACTAAATTTAGGCAGCTTAAAGATGAAGACACTCATCTACTTGCAGATGTCAGATGTTGGTACATATGAATTAAGTATGTTGTGTTCAGTAGGCTGAAGAAGACGTGCGACTTATCAAAGTGAGTTTTGTATTCAAAGGGGAGCTTTTCATTTATTCAGAGAAAGCTCTTTCTTGAACTTTTCTGAGTACCCTTGTCCTCTTGGGTCTGCCAGTGACTTCTGTGGGGTGACACTGACTCTGGAAGAAACAGCTTGTTTGTAGCTGATTCATTCCTCCTTATTGACAGTGGAAAACTACCAAATGTGGAAAGTTGTCAATTTTCTCTAAATTATAGCAACTTCCTGAATAAATGTTAAATGGAGAAAAGGGAATAAAAAACATAGGGCAAGGGGGGAAAATGTATCCTTATCAGTCTGGAAACTTTGCTTTTTTCTCTCAAACAACCCCAGGTAAGTGATGCTGCCAAAGAATCAACATTTCAAGATAGATAAGACACGCTTGGGTGTGTCAGATTATGGAAAAAGCAGTTCAACTACTTTTTAAAACCTGATGTAAAAGTGTATGTTTATGGTGTATATTATAATGTTAAAAGTAAATTCAAAATAATAATATGTGCATTGAGTGATAATGTTAGTCATTAGGAAATGAGTTACAGATGCTACACTCAGCATACAAAATATTGAGCATAATCATTTTGTATAAATTGAATAGTGGATATGATTTATACATTTGTTAATTCAGGAATAAAAATAACCGTAATATCTTTTTCAGCTGAGGAAAACTACCATTTTCTGTCTCTTACTTCAGAAGGGAGACTGATGAAAGTTCATGTGCCTGCTTTTATCCTTTTTGTGTCAGGTTACACATGTTACATCTAAATCAAAATGCTTACTCAGTAGAAAAAGGGCTGTGATGGTTCCTATCTACGAGATGTAAAGGGCTTTTTCGGCTTTTGGTTTTGAGCTACACTTTAAAGTGCTCCAGTAGTAATGATTGGGAAGAAATACTTGGAATAAATTTAAATAACTGCATAAAGTGCTCCTTTCTTCTAAGATATTTTCCTTGCCGCTTGAAATGTCTGCGGTCTGTGAGCGTAGCATAGGTTTGCTGTCCCTTTCATCTGGAAAATACCTAAACAGGGCAATGCAAGGTGGCACATTACTAACTGTGGGGGTTTTATACACTTTTGGAAAAAAAAAAAAAAAGTTTTTATGAGTGGTAGCACAGGATTTTCTGTGAATGGAGGATGTTAAATCACTTGTAATTCAGAAAGACCCAGATACTTTAACTGGGTGAAACTTTTGTGAAAGACTCAGAATTTACTTTCATGCTCAGTGTGTTCAACTGAGGGGTAGCACCTTCTGCTGGTAGAGTTAAAAGAGTTTGAAATAAGTGGAGGTCTAAAAAACAAAGCTAACACAATTCCAGTGTGGGGTGTAAACTGGAATAGTTTATTGAACGTGAGAACACAATTTTAAGCGCTTTGGGGGTTGGACATGTTAATGAATGGGACAAGCTATGTTAATTAGGGAGTTACACAAGTTTTTTTTACTGGAGTTTCCAAATAGTTATTTTTTCTTCAAGCATGATTATATGGGGGAAGGAAGGATTACAGGGGTTCAGATGTGGTTCGGTACCAATATTTCAAAAAGTCCTTTCTTAATTCTGCTGGAGCTGGCTTAATCCATAAGATTGTTCATCAACAAGTCTTGTGAGGAAGATCCAGCTTCTTCAGATCACGAGATTCTTGCCAGCCTCTGTTTTCTAGGGTCTGCTACTCAAACTCCTTAAGCTCCTTTCTGCTGGCAACCGGGTTTGGGCTCCTACAGAAATATCGTCTGCCTCTGTTTGCAAGATAGCAGTGGCTTTCAGCTACCTAGTTCTGTATTAACTTTTGGTTTAGTTGTCTCCTTGAAACCTAAAAACACTTGTGAGCATAAGGATAAAGGAATTGACTGGCTTATAGTAGCTATCCCAATTTTATGATAACTAGATTAATAGAAACTGTACCAGATTTTCATAGTAAAGGCTACTTTTTGATTGCTAAACACATAAATACATTCCTTTAACTTGGCTCTTTTTTTTATTTCTTTTTCCTTTCTTAAACTTTAAAATAGGAATGAGAAAAAGTAGAGTTAATTGAAAATTTACCTTCTAAACTGCTGGGAGCCGTTTGTTCAAAATTTGCTTGAATTAATGTTTAGTGGGTGGTACCTTAGACCTGCACATAAGGTTTGTGTTCGATGGAAAAGAGGGTGACTGTGACTACA